ACATAACTTTATGGTCGGATAACTTGTTTGGTTTTGGGAATACCATCGATAAACTTCTCGCCGGTGAACAGGTGTTCGTCGACGAGTCGGGACGGCGTGTGGGCTAACCATTCGCCGAGCGATATATCATGGAAAGTGTCGGTCGGAAACACTTCGATGAACACGACATCATCGGTGCCTATATTCTCGATATAATGCGGCGAAGACTGTTCAATATAACCCACATCTCCCTCTTCAAAGTTCATAGTCCGGTGTTTACCCCCCGCGGCGAACACACCCATCCGTGCCTTACCCTTGAGAAAGTAGTTCCATTCGGGTCCGTTCGGGTGCCAATGCAACTCTCGGAGGGCACCGGCCTTTAGGGTGACAATAGCGGCGGCCATTGTTGTCACCGGGAAGTTGCGTTTGTCAATCACTTTGACCAAACCTCCAGTTTTGGTAACATTGGGTGTCATTTTGCTGGCGAAGAATGAGAACGGGTTCGGCACGTATGCCGTGCCCTGAGCCGCGGCTGTCTTCTCTTCTTGTAAGCCGCGGGGCATTTGAGACGCAAATATATACATCTCTTCGTGAGTGATATTAGCGAAGGTAGACTGTGGGACACCGAAGTTCTTGGCCAGTATGTCGAGCGGGATGTGTTGGAACCAATCGGTGAGCAGGAATGTTTCAAACTCGTTGAAATTACCATCGTCAAACACCAGCAAGAAAAAGCAGCCGTCATCGCCCACACCCTGTATGCTATGGGGTATACCGCCCGGGAATAGCCACACATCACCCTCGGTGACGTCCTCGACAAACGCCCTAGCGTGTTCGTCGATGGCGGTGATACGGCAAGTGCCCTGGATCATATAGGCCCACTCGGCGCAGGCGTGCCAATGCAACTCACGTACGCCACCTTTGATCAGTTTCATTTGTACCCCTGCCATGGCTTTGGCAATAGGTAGGTCCCGGACAGTGACCTGTCGAGTCCAGCCACCGGTGAATGCGCCGGTGTGTGCGAATGAGAATGGGTATTTGAACGGTGGCTGACCACCATGGTCGGTTTTGGGCGCCTTACCCGATGACGGATTTTGCTGATCCAGCAGATCGTTGAAAATTTTGTCGGACGGCCCGCACGAGCAGTACAGTAGGCCCGACAATAGGGTAAATGCGATCGAGATGATCATGGTTGGATTTATTTAGACTCTATTTTGTTGAGTTTGTATAGAGTTATTGTTTGCTAAATAACTCTCGTTTATGAGATGTGATAGTTTGGGTTTATGTGAGATGTTTATATAGCCCATGGTAAAACTTAAACAGCACTTTCAAAGTGAACACATGCTGTCTCAAGTGGGTAAACGTCATAATTCCAACGATCAAGATCACTTCTGTCAATAGTATTCACTGTTGTGCACTCATTTTCGATCACAATGTGAATTAAATCAAATTAAGTAATTAACTCACCTCATGAAATGAAGATTATCACCTTATTAAAATGTAATATTTCGAAATAAGGCGAGCACAAAGTAGAGTGTATGATAACAATTGAACAAATGTATGATATCATATGCATGATAACAAATGTTCCAGTTGAGTTTTCTCGTACTCGTGTTATTAAGTGTTGTTAATATAGAAAAACTACAAGATTTTTACTTGTGATTTTATAACTTATTATAATAATAAATTATCAAGTTACAACAAATACAATTTAATTAATTTTGAAAATCCTAATTCACTTAAGTATAAAATTAAAGGACAACTTATATAAATGTTTTTTATTTAATTTATATAATTTAAAAATTCTAAATTAATTAATATCTAAAATAAAATAAAACATTTAAAATTAATATTTGAACATTTAATTAACAAGTGCAATTTAAGTACAGCATTTATAATTTATAAAATTAATCCTTATAAAATACTTTATTGCGGTACACAAAAAGTAATGTAAAACTCATTTAAGTATCATCATTGTATTTTGTACTGTAAGACACTGCAATTAGTCTGGGTGATTTGTCGGTGCTCGATACTGGCTGTAAAATTACCCACATACATCAATGTATAACAATTAGCAGTATATTTCTGTTGAGTGTTGCCAACAATAATGGTAATTCTATCAGTAATTGTTCAGTGAATTACAGTTAATAGATTAGTACTAACTTCAATGTTATTGTGAGTGAATTTCTAATTAATATTGTTTGTTTTAGTGCCGAACAATCACTATGATAACTTTCAATGGAAATTTTCCAATTTGTTGTATTTAAATATTATTTGCTTAAATATACTGTATCTTAAGTGTCTTGTTTATTTCAAAAAGTACAGAATGTTCTATAAAATTGTTGCCATCAAATTGTGTTAGTAAATATTTGTTTATTAGGCGCAATTACATTACACTTGTATCAAATTTTACCTTAAATTCTTATTCTCAGTAAGCAATAAAATACATGCTTAACAAATGTAAATCATATATTGTTTTGAATAAATTTAATTTTTGTATTATATATTTGTTTGACTGAATAAAATAATTGCATATTAATTGCGTAAATTGACCATGTACTGTATATTATACACAATAATATTCTTAATACGAGGTAAGAAATATGGTAATGATAATAGAGACTTGTGATACTCGTGTCAGAACATTGAGTGTTGGCAACAATCATCATGTATTAGTTGTTTTTGTCAATGCTTTTACATCATAATGAGAGAGAGAGAATTATCATTACCATATTTCTTACCTCGTATTAAGAATATTATTGTGTATAATATACAGTACATGGTCAATTTACGCAATTAATATGCAATTATTTTATTCAGTCAAACAAATATATAAAACAAAAATTGTGTTGGCAATAAATGAAAATGTGTGATGTATGAACTGATCATTTATCATAAACTAATTTTTAATACTATTATTTAAAATAACTCATTACTTTAATTAATTATTATCTCACTGGTCAGTAATAATGTAGATTAGTAACTTTTTAATTGTATTAATCGAGCATTAAATGAGGCACTATAAATAATAAAATGTGAATTACATTTAACTAATTAGTGAATTATAATATTAATTGTCTGGTAGATTCAAAACCTGAAACATGATAAAACCTTAAATGTTTACTTAGGTGTTTTAATATAATAATATTAATATTATATTAATAATGAACTACTTGTTATGAAATCGCACACCATTTAAATTATCAAACCTATCTAAATTACTAATCAACAAGCATAAGCATAATCAAGTAAATGTATAACATTGTATGATTAATAAATTTAGATAAGATATACTGTATTATCTGTAAAAATATTATGTTATAACATAATTGAATTGAAGGTATAACTAATAAATTGAATTGAAAATTAATCTCAAATTATAACATAGATAATGAAAATAAAAATGTTTAGTTTTAAAGTTTGTTTTGTTTGATGCATAAAATGATCACTTCTTAGACTTAATGAGTGTCTGTATTCTCAGTTCTGTGGGTCTGTTATCACTCGATGCCGAAGATAATGATGTCGTCCACACTATTGGCTGCAAAGTGTCTACATTTTGATCCACTCTTTTATACTTCGGGTAAACTCTTGGCTTAGATTTGATGTCTTTGACGTTAGATGCGATTTTTTTTTGTAAATCATCACCAGAACTGATCCAAAGAATATAAGACTAATCAAAAACACTACAATGAATGCAATCCATAATAACATCTCAGAATTGTTGGACTCAGCGCTGAAACAGTGCTTACGAGTTAGAATAGGAAATCATATTATCGGCTGAATTGCACTAAAATAGAAATAAATAATAATTTACATTAAAAACATGTATAAATAGTTTGGACTAGGGATGGGATAATACATGAAAAAAATTTTGCCATGTATTATTCATGTATTATTACATGTATATCATGTATTATTCGTG